AAATCACAACAGTGGACTGGCAGGTAACCACTTCAATAACAACAATTTTATCTCCACTACAACAGACACATAAATGTGTCGAGCGTCTCTAAAAGAGTCGAACGTCTCTAGAAGAGTCGATTGCGTAGCCGCTATTTGGAGATAGAATGGCACTGAAGTGGGCCTGTCAATCCGGAAAAAAAAGAAGAATAAAGAAGCGGTGTCACCTCCAACGAACCAAGATGAATCTTAAAAGATCATCAAGTCATTGGCGACACCGCGTATTGTTATCGAATTACTTCTGATACCATTAGTTTAATTATCGAAGTAAGCGGTAGTCGATCTCGAGAGGACGAACGCAATGAAGCACGTTTTTCCTCCGTTGAAGATGAGATGGAAAAATAAAAGCAAAATGCAATATATTTATACTCGTGAAATGTATTGCACCATCAGAATGTAACCACCACCTTGTTTTACCATTATCTGATGCAAGGAAGAGAAAAACAGAGGAAGAAAACACATGGCTACTGCGTAGTTGACATTAAACAAATATTTGCATCAATGAAAAGCAACCATAGAAATTGCAATTCCGTTCTTTATAAAAATTTCATGGGTTACTAAAAATACTTCTTTTTCCTTCGTTGAAGCATGTAGATTTTACAATTTGCTTTTCGTGACTTGCCCTTCATATGCAAAAACAAGAACAGTTCTTTATCGTCGATGATAGTGAGGGCCAGTTGAATTGCCTCCCCCCCTTTCCCTGTTTTTTTTGCACATATTTTGTTTACTTGAAAACATTATGCGTAATAAGAAACAACGAAATATGCTGCACCTTAGAATACACATTCTCCTTGAAAAAGGAATAAAATATAAAACATAATAACTGTATCATAACAAAAAGCGTATTAGTACACAGCTTATATTTATGTAGGGCTCCATTTAAGAATATAATCGAAATAATAAAATAATATGAAGATTATTTTTGTCTATGAATAGTTGGAAAATATCTTAATTGTCATCTATGTTGATATGCACAAATGAATGTCGTATTAGATCTTTTCCTTTTTCTAATTTATTTATTTATCAATATTTAGATCTTATTCATAAGTGCATACGTATAAACAATAATAGATTTCTAGTGACTATAATTGCAAATGTTTCATTTACTTTGAAATAAAGAAATTAGTCGAACATATCATAAACTTCTGTATAAAATTTATGTATATGGCGATTGATCATTATGATATGCCTATAGATTTTCTTTATTATGATTCAAATGAAAACATACGTTGTATAAATAGCATTACTCTTTTTTTTTTCTCTCATACAGGTATTAAACTCTGAACTATATTTGTTGTTGTTCAAGAAGAATAGAACACAAAAATGCAGTGTATTTCGCACTTTCTTGTCATATAATATTATATGTTTAAAAACGAAAACAAAACAAGACACAATAACAAAAAAACAAAAACAAAAGAGAGACATTCAATTGACCGTTACTGTACTTCATTAATAATTGAATCAATATAATTATCCATTGAATTCATATCGAAGTTTTAAAGCCGTTGTTTATATTTGTTTTTTCATTTACGAAATAATTAATTACAACACCAAACATTTGTAGAACAAATTTTTTCTCATTATATTATCAAAAATAAAAGCGCCATTTTATATTTCTCAAAACATAAAATTTGAGATATAAAATTGCACATAATTATTATAACTACAGAAAATAAATCTAGATTATTTAGTTTTTTCCTTGCTCGAATGAAGTTTTAATTGCTGAACTCAACCATTCAATACCAGTAACAACACCTTCTCCTGTAAGTGCATTACTTGAACATATATACCAAGATTTATTTATAATATTTTCAAGTGTTAATGCAGATGATACACCTACATCTGATAATGCATCACGTATATCCATTTTATTAGCAAAAAATAAAATAGGAATATTACGTTTTGATATATCTGGATGTGAAAGTAATTGTTGAAGTTCTTCACGAGCAATAAGAATACGTCCTTTATCTGAACTATCAATTACAAATATAATACCATTTGTTGAACGATAATAATTTCCCCATAATGTTCTATAACGACTTTGTCCACTCATATCAAATGCAGAAAATGAAAGTCCATTATATGAAAAATGTTCAACATTAAAACCAACTGTTGGCGTTCTATCATCAGTTTGAGCTTCACGTGGACGTAAAAAATTTAAAAGTGATGATTTACCACTATTGTCAAGACCAACAACTAATACATTAACTACTCGTCGACGAAGACCAAGCCATTCAATTAATGAATCAAGTATACCCATGTGTTGAAGAGTAATGGCTTTGATTATTGGTTAAGATTAATACATCACGATGATTTATAAGCCATTTTTGATTGCTTAGATACAACCATCATCTATATTTTTCATAAATAGATGTCACTAATTGTTTAAAAAAAATAGCAAAAATAGAGAGGACAGATAAAATAAACATTAATGGTAAAATAAGGATAAAAAAATGAATAAATAGATGGCATGATTAAAACAAGAATTTGTTTTTATTTATATCTAAAACATTTTCATCGATTGAATCAATGTAATGAAATGATATTTTTATATTTCAATCTCCCATGAGGAGACTCTAAAATGAATTTTTTATTGTATGTTATTATTGAAAAAAAATATCAAAAAAAAAATAAATTTTTTATGTTTTCTAGTCGTCAACAACGTACATTTAAACCTCATCGAAATATACCAGAAGGTATTTATCTCGTATTTAATTTTCTTAAAATTTATTTTCTTTCTTTTTATTATAGGTACAAAACAACATGATTTAATGAAACATGCACAAAATACTTTAGGAAGTGGAAATTTACGTTTAGCTGTACAATTACCCGAAGGAGAAGATCTTAATGAATGGATTGCTGTTAATAGTAAATAAATCTCATCAATGAAATCTTTCAAGTAGTGAATCTCTTTTCTCAAAAATACATGATTGTATGCAGTTCACTAAAATTTAGGATCTTTATTGGTATATATATCAGCTTTGTAAACAATTTTCATTTTTTCTAAATACTCATTTTTGAAAAATCAACAACCGTTTTACGTTGAAATAAATTCTTAAAAAGAATACTTAAGTAAATGTTACAGCTGAGTTCAATATCACATTTTATAGAGAAGTATTCGCTTTACAAAACGATCGACTTCAATAATTTTTAGTACATTCGAAAAGAAACTTTTTCGTGTAAACAAAAATCTGTTGACTTACTATTAGAAATAGGCTTTTCAAAAACTCTCTCGAACAAAAAATAGATATAATATTTTTAAGTCCATATTCAAATTCTGCTCGCGATCTATACTGAAATACTTTCGAGCAGACTAAAATGAACAAACATTTTGTCTAAATATTTTCCGATCATTCATTATATAAAATTCATTTCACCATTTTGTAAAAAAATCATATTTAGTCTTTCCCTGTTTTACAATACATCTTACGAAGGAACTATTTCAACTTGACAATCATTTTTGAGTTCGAATTCTGTGCATTAGGTAGATTCTAATGAAGTATTAAAAGCTTCAAAAGAATGAGGACTCCTCGGCTATAGCTATTTTACTGAAATTTTGCCTACTTGTAGGGGAAATTTCAATAAAACGACGATAATTATATAGAGAATGTCTTCCTTATGCATAGAGTCTGAACATAAAAGCGATTTTCAAGCTAGGCGAGGTTTCCTCTTTATGTTTATAAAAAAAATATTTTTGGTCCATTTGAAAGTATTTTTAGATCAGTTAAAACCTATGGATTAGGAACAGAACTTTGTGGTCTTTCTGAATATGAGCTTAGAAATTTTGTATCTGTTTTTGTTCGAGAGTAGTAACGAAATCTTTGAAAGGTCTTAAAAATTACTTTGGACGACGTATAAACAGATTTTTATGAAGATGCTAAACTTTATCGGACACTTTACAAAATGTGATATTGAATTGATTTTACAGAAGTGAAATTATACGTATTTTGTCAGAAACTCCTTTTCTCGTATAAAATATCTTTTGGTTAAAAAGTCGATTTCTCAAAGATGAAGATGTAGGAAACACGAAAATTAAGGCATCTTGCCTAACGAAATAGGATTTCGACTCGTCGGAAAATACTTTCAAATGAGCAAACATTTTGTCGGAAAACTTTCGATCCACCTGTGAGTAAAAAAACAAAACAAGGATTGATAATTATGATATAGAGATAAGTACAGTGAACTGCATGCACTCGTGTACTTTTCTTCTAAAGAAAAAATGATTCACTACTTGGGAGGAGATTTTCTTTAGTTTAATTTCACTTTTTATTTCATTTTTTAGTTGTTGATTTTTTTAATCAAATAAATATGCTTTATGGTACAATAACTGAATTTTGCACAGAAACAACATGTGTTTTAATGACAGCTGGACCAAAATATGAATATCATTGGGCTGATGGTCAAACAATAAAAAAACCTATAAAATGTTCAGCACCACGTTACATTGATTATTTAATGTCATGGGTACAAGATCAACTTGATGATGAATTAATATTTCCATCAAAAATAGGTGTACCATTTCCAAAAAATTTTCTTTTAATATCTAAAACAATATTAAAACGTTTATTTCGTGTTTATGCACATATATATCATCAACATTTTAAAGAAGTTGTTATGCTTAAAGAAGAAGCACATTTAAATACATCATTTAAACATTTTGTTTATTTTATACAAGAATTTTCATTAGTTGAAAAAAAAGAATTAGCACCATTACAAGAATTAATTGATCGTTTAACAACAAAAGATCATTAGTGAGATATATATATATTTATTAGTTCTTTCTTTTGTTCTAGTCAAAGATTAAAATATCAAAGAAAGAGAAAAAAAAATTTTTTTTTTTTGTATATTTGTTGTGAAGATGCATGCCATTTATTTGTTCTTGTGTTTTATTATAATACGCGATTGATCTATTTGTGTTCTGGCTTTTTTTTTTCGTTCTCTATATGAAAATAGATAATTGGACTTTTTCCAAGAAAAGTTTTCCTTTTTTCATTTTTGTTTTAATGATCAGAAAATTATGGATACAATGGATTTGAACATATTAGCGCATTGCAACTAACATGTTAACGAAAAATAGAAATACTAAAAGAACGTCTATATTTATTGTTTTGTTTTCCTTTTCATCGGTAAAGATAATTATTTAAATCATTGTTTTTTTTCTAATTTCAGATGTCTGATATTGAAGATATGAGTTTTAGTCTCTTAAATAAATCTCATAATCATCTATTAACTTATCGTGCATTTGAACAAGTACGTCTTATTGCTCTTCGTCATTATTGGATACCAAATTCTATAATTTTTCATATACAAAATGATGATTCTCAATATGCATTAGAATTTTCATTAGAAACATCTAATGAACATTATTATTTATATATACCATGGAATGTTGATGATTTTACAATACAATGTCATATATCATGTCGAAAATTAGCTGATGATGGTTATGCATGGACAATACGTATGCTTGATAGAATATTAAGATTATTATGTGATCATTGTCCTGGTTTATTTCAACTTGAATATAAAAATGGTTTATTTGGTCGACAAAATAATCGTTTAATTATTTATAATGGTCTTGCTAATCTTTGTCCAATGGATTATAGTCATTGGAAACAACGTGTACAATTACAATATGATCGTTTAAGTCCAACAAGACAAACAACAACAATATTAGCTGATATTGAACAAACAAATAATGGAAATGAATATGGTATACGTTCAATTAAATATCAAACACTTGGTCATGGAAAAATACTTAATGAAACTTATTATGATTGGTATGTGTGATTTGTTTGCAATAATCAATTATGATTTTCATGTCAGATATGTATATGTGTTTTTTTTTTGCTTTGTTTCGTGTCCGATGATGTTATTTGAAATAGTAAACATAATCAATTGTATGTTTCTTTTGCAAATAGATTTATATATATATATATATAGAATTTTGTTTCTTTGGTATAACTATTTGATTTAAAAAATAATGTCGAATGATTGAAGAAAGCTAAGATCTTTATAATTAGATTAAGAGAAAAAAAAAATTGCTCAACTATTATGAATTTCTAAGTATCTTTGTTTTCTATATTTTTAGATAAACTTTTTTTTTTTAAATGGCAACTTCAACATCAACAGTTATAAAAACTCAAACACGTCAAGTAACACGAACAAATCCTCCTCCATCACTTGTACTTGAATTAAATCCTTCAAATGAAACAACTCCTCGTGTTCGTTGGACAGAAGAAACAATTGATAATGAACATTTAAATAAAAAGAAATCAAAATGTTGTTGTGTATATACAAAACCACATGATGCACAATTAAATGATGATCAAACAACAGAAGCTAATGAATTTGATAATTGTCAACATTGTCGATTTCATACTGAATCCGATTATGCTGCTAAACCTAATGAACGACAACCGAAAATAAAAGTAGTTGTAAAAAAACCTGAATGATCTCAAATATAAACAAAAATTTTTTTTTTTTTTTTTGAATATAACAGCGTCTTATACTCTCGCTTTTATTTTTAGATTATCTCGTCGTTAATTTCTCTATCAATTAACATCACAAAAACAAAATGGGTCGTGTTCGTACGAAAACAGTTAAAAAAGCATCACGTCAAATAATTGAAAAATATTATACAAAATTAACACTTGATTTTCATACAAATAAACGTGTTGTAGAAGAAATAGCTATTATACCAACAAAACGTCTTCGTAATCAAATAGCTGGTTTTATAACACATTTAATGAAACGTATTCAAGCTGGACCTGTACGTGGTATATCAATTAAACTTCAAGAAGAAGAACGTGAACGACGTGATAATTATGTACCCGAAATATCAGCACTTGAACCACAACAAATGATTGCTATTGATCAAGATACAAAGGAAATGTTAAATGCATTTGATTTTAAATCATTACCTAATGTTGGCGTACAAGAAGCAAGTGATCAACAAAATCAACCAGGTGGAAATCAACGTAGTGGTCATGATCGACAACAAGGTGGATATACTCGACGAGGTGGTTTACAATAAAACCAATGAATATTTAAGGAACGAAAGAAAGAAAGAAAAAATAAATAAGAAAATTATGAAAAAATAAAAAACACCAATCCCATTTTATTAACAAATAATCACAATACACAAATATATAGATTATATTGGTGTAATTGTTTTTGTTTTGTTTTTTTTTTCTTTTTATGTGAATATCATCAACAACAACAACAAAAAAATAATAAATGGGATATTTTACAAACATATTTATATTATATTTTTAATTCACTTGTATATAAATTCGAGATTCTTTTTTAATTATCTTCGTAAATATTATGTTTATAATATATTGATGTAAGTCATTTTAAAGTAGAGAAAATTTCATTCAAGAAATGACCTATACAGTATCTCGGAGTGTTTAACGTACTTTTGAACTTTTATCCTTATGACATTTTTATAAACACACATGTCATTTGAGCCAACTTGTATATTTATTTTGCTTACATCTACACTTTATCACCTCCTAAATGTAGTGTTAATACTCATGCTTGATATATTTAATCCACATTTTAACGTCATCATGTCAGTTATTACATTCTAAATAGTTTTGTAATCTACAACTAGTGAAAAAAAAATCGATGTACTTCTTTTTTTCTATATTATTACTATAATCGAACTAATCTGTTCATAATGATCTCGATAAAGAATATGTGAATGTTGATATTTATGAGATTTCATAATGTTCAAATCAATCATAACAGATCAACATCTAGATTGAATATAGAAATGTATATGTATTTTTTTGTTTTTCATAATAACTAAGATTGTTTACATGAATATAAATAAATCTATATTTCTAGATTTAAATATATCTTACAAACAAGTATATCTAAAGTTAATTTAAATAATATGAATGAAAATCCATTTCGACTTGGTTCAAGTAAAGTCGATTGGTGTGAACCAAATTATGTCGTTAGTGAACATATTGCTGAATTTTGGAATACAGTAAGTATTAAGATAAAAAACCAAAGTTTCCTATTCTCCTCACCTTTTTGTTATGCACAATTAAATCAGGCTACAATAACAGCTGAATCGGTTACTTAACTATATTTGTATTGCTGGCTAACATACTAAATAGATGGATGAAAGGTAATTTATTTAATTTCGCTGTTTCGGGATTGCTATAGTTTATATGTATTAATGCATGCTCATTTATATTTTTTCCCCCTCATGTTTGCTATTTATAACCAATTGGCTGTATATATATATATTTTTTTTTTGATAGAAAATTTGTCAAGACTGTAGTTTTAGGCATATTAATTTAAATATTTTTTTGAAAAATGTTTTTAAGGTTTCCAATATTTTCTTCTTTTTGGTGCCACCGTTAATGATTTCTCTTTTTCGATCATATTCAAAACGAGTAGCAAATGGAATAGCAATTCTTTGGATTTTATTGATTATCATTGGTTTTGGTTCTGTTTATTTTCATGCTACACTTAGTCTTGTATGTTGAGAATAAGTTATAAAAAAAAAAGAAAGGAAATCAAATTTGATAATTGTTTAGGTTGGACAATTAATTGATGAAATATCAATTCTTTGGGTACTTACGATTGGTTATGCGCTCTTTTTACCCGAATCTTATTTACCACACTCATTTCGTGTTCAACGGTATTTATGATTTTTCTTTCTTTTTCTCAAATTCTTTTCAATTTTGTTTTTCTTTTTTTTTTATCATGTTAACTAAGTATACAGTAGTTTGTTGTAGTTATTTCGAGTATACTGTTGCAATTAGAGATGTCCATGAAGGTGGCATTGGAGGAGTTATTTTAACAACATCATTGCGGCAACGGCACGGTGATGGCAGCTTTTTTCTCGAGGACGACGCAAACACGCCTGAATTTGAACAAAATGTCAGTATTCACAGATCCAACACTCTTAGATTCAACAAATTTCATCGGTTAGTGACAATAGTTCTAATCCAAGGCAGTCTCAACCGTGAAATTCAAAGTATTTTTCTAACAAACACCGTGGCAGCAGCAGCTTTTTCTATAGTTCATCGCGGCATGGTACAGCTAGTTTTAGGTGGGACGCAGCAGTGGCAAGTTTTCAGCCGTGATGGGCATCTCTGATTGCAATTAATAATATCTTTTTCAATATATCAACATAAAGAGTGGTGAACATAGGATAATCGATCATTTATATGATGCAGACATTCTGATATTGAGAGTGACTAAGAGAGGTATTCCAGCTCTATGAGATCATCAGAAAGTCTCGGTAAGATTAGAAAAATCTTAAAACTGTTCATCTCTACGATCCTTCCGAGCCAAGTTATGGTCATTGTACTGAATTTTCGATTGATTTTTAGGTATTTACTGAAAAATCACATAACAAAATTTCGATCTGAAGTTTATGCTCAGAGATAGGTCTAATGATCATTAGAATATCTTGAAAGTTTCAGCTGAAATGCATTAAATAAATATTTATTTCAGATCGAAGGTTCAGTATAACGATCATAACTCGACTCAAAAGACCCATAGGAGTAAATTTGGTTTAGGTTTTTTCATTCAGAAGAAAATTCCTCTTTATGAATCAAAATTGAATGTAACTTATTAGTTGATTTCATTTATTTTGTTTTATTTAGACATCGATTTGTTTACGCTTGTATTATTTTTGCTTTGGTTATTACTTGTTTGTCAATTGTTCATCCATATGCAAATGCTTTTGCTCTAATGATGCTTGGTTTACCTTCCACAGGCTTTATCATTCGTCATATTTTACGGTAAAAAATTTCAATATTTTACATTTTATGTGTTGTTTTTGTTTTTAGATGTGATAATTCACGTGTAAAAACTCTTGGTGTTCATTGTTTTATTATATGGATTACTGCATTTATAGTATGGATATGTGATCGAATGTTTTGTTCATATTGGTTATCAATATCATTTCCTTATTTACATGCTCTATGGCATGTATTAGTTTTATTTAGTAGTAATGAAGGTATTGTTATTTGTTGTTATTTAACCGTAAAACATCAAAATCCTCAAGCAAATCTTCATTTATATTTTTGGCCTAATGAACAATGGAAATGGTTTTCAATACCATATTTAAAATTTCATGATGATGATGATAATGATAATTTTTCAATATCATCATCGAATAATTTATCAACAAAATTCTATGTTTAAATTCTTTTATATATATATATATATTTGTATTATTTTTTTTTCTTTCTATTTCTTATGACATCAAAACATTATTTTTGTGATACGAATTTATATTATAGTGAATTGTAAAAAACAAAAAAAAAAAAATTTCTATTCATTACTTGTAACATACTTAATTTTATATGTTTTCTATTGTAATTTTCATTTATTTTTCGTCTTTTGAAACAGTCCAGTATCTATTTGTGGTATATTGTTTATAGTTTGTATTATAGAGCTTTTTGTATATTTCATATAGTGTGTATAAGTAAATAACAAAAAACAAAAACGTGTGACATAAAGATCAGAGTAAATTTGATTTGTTGTATTTTTGCTTTTGTAATATTTGTACAAATTATATTAAAAATTTGATTTGTGTTGTAGTGTATTTAAGAATGTGAATTCATAAAAGTTATGAATAAGATTTTTGTTCATATTGTGATGTTTATTCGAAACTAAAAATTTTATTCTTTAATAAAATAATTTGCATTTTCAAATACAAAAAACAAAAATAGTTTTTAGAAATCGAATTATTCTTTGGTGCAATGCTGTTGTCAATCAACTATTGAAAAAGTTTATATTCACTTGAGAACTGGAGTTGGGCACAAGACAATGAAAGTGCCTATTTCGACTTTCGGTCATCAAAGTACTTATTAGTTATCTTATATAGCTAATTTATTTCATATCATTTTCAAATACAACAACTAAAGTTTTCAATAATGACTAATATTATAAATACAAGAAAATATAGAAACATCTGGATTTATTATTTTAATGACACGTTCATTACAGGAAATAGAAAAATGTGAGCTTGTGAGGTTTTATCATGATTATCTTAACATATAGTGAATACTATTGGTTAAAAATAAATAAAACAATGAAAAAGTATTTGATAACAAAAATGATATAAAGAAAAAAGTACATAAACAGAGGTGAGCACAGGCGAACGCTTTCTGTCCTATCTTGTGCCCAGCTCTGTTGACAACCCAGTATTTATGACAGTTTTGATTTGCTGTATCAGAAACGATTGTTAGATTTCATCAAATCTAAAACAAGAGTTTTGGTATTGGTAGAAAATTATCATTTTTAAGACAAAACTCAATCAATTCTATAAGCTTTTTTTCTATATTTGAAGAAATCAAACAATAGTCAAAATTGTTCATGAGTAGTATGCACTATTAATGGAAACTTACAGTTCTAAAAATAGAGCAATCAAAACTATTATAAACAATGGGCAGGACAATAAGTTCTCAATACTAGAAAATATCATATTTGAAATTATGGCCAAGAAATTAATGTATCTCCATATACTATTGAATGGATTGATGAGTGTTGGTTTTGTGTTATTGAAACTAATGATGATTTGTCATATTAGATTATTTTTACGAATCATTTCTATTTGTTTGATATGCAGGTCACTAACATTCATGAAAAAAATCAATAAAATATTTTTTCAACATTTTCATTTGTTTTTGAACTTATTTCATATGAAATTATACGTCTTCTTTTTAAATTAGATTTTGTATCAATAAGAAACATAAGTATTCGTTCAAGACAACAAGACAATAACATTTAATTTCCTCAAGCTAATTATTAACATTACAAAAACATTTTTTATATAAAAACTATGAATAAAATACATGATTAATTTTAGATCATCCTTTTCACTGGTACCTCGATATACTTTATTTAATAGTGATATTGTCGAATGTCTTCTTCTTTTTTGTATCTATTCATGTGACTTCCAAGGGATGTCTAAAATTATTGACACCACGTTACAATAAGAGTAGAGAATAATTATAAAAGTAATTGCGTGGTCATTCTATATTTATCATTAACAACGTTTCGTATTGACTTCGAAAAAATTTCAACCTAACCAACGAAAATAGATCGATTTATATTCCGTTAAGAAATAATCTTAAGTATATCGTTGTATAAAATTTCTGTTTTCCTAAAGAATACTACTACTGTGAGTAAAGGAAAGACCTGCATCCTCTTGTGAATTGAAATTCTTCACTATACTTATGATAGAATTCTACGTAATATATCTTGTAGCAATAAATATCTATTAACAAATGAATTTGTTTTTGTGAAGTTATTCTTTTAATCACAAACTTTATGAATTATGTCAATATTTACATTAAAAAAAAAAGAATGAAACAAAATTTTCAATAATTAAATTGTGCATTTATTTCCACCCATACATCCAGAATCACCTGAATGTTTAACTGTCTTTCGTCTACTATTCAAATCAATTTCTCGTTCTGGTTTTCGATCTTTTTTATAAACCATTTCCATTTCATTCGTATGAGCTACTAAATTTTGTGTAAAATCAACAAAACATTTTTCAACATTTTCATTTGTTTTTGAGCTTGTTTCAAGATATGATAAACGATTTTTTTCTGTATAATTTTTAATCATGTCATCTGAAACCATACGTCGTGTTTTTAAATCAGATTTTGTACCAATAAGAAATATAGGTGTTTGTTCAGGACAATATCGTTTAACTTCTTCAAACCAATTATTAACATTACGGAAACTTTCTAAATCAGTTAAATCAAAACAGATAATAACACCATTTGCATTACGATAAAATGAAGATACAACACATTTAAAACGATCTTGACCAGCTGTATCCCATACTTGTAATTTACAACGTTTAGAATCGATGTCTAATGTTCGAATTTGAAAATCTATTGCGATAAAGAAAAAACAAATAGATAAATAATTAGATCATAAACAAAATACTTACCAACACCTATAGTTGCGACATATTCTGTTGAAAAATAATCTTGCGCAAATCGTTGTAAAATTGTAGTTTTTCTAAAGAATAGAAGCATTCATGTATAGAAAGAAAATGAAAAGAAATTACATACCCAACTCCACTATCACCAATAATTAATATTTTAAATAGATAATCAAATTCAACACTAGTTGTATAGTTAAATGCCATGATTTCTAGTTCGATAATACTCTCTGTTCTTACTTTAAACATCCATTTTTATACTTTTTTCAGTAGACTAGCCACGTTGAATTACTTGTTGACGTGGACACGTAAACTATTGGATGACTCAACATGTTGACTCATTCATATGTTTGTCTTTCACAATTTCTGTTAGGAACAAAAATGGAGCATCTTGCAATTTGCTCCCATTGAAAAAAATGAAGAATAATAAAATGATTCGTCCTACTGAAGTAGAATGTAAAAAATATCGAAAATAAAGGGTGTGGATGTGGGCATAATTCGGAAATGAAAACGCACACCTACAGTCACAGCTACAAACACTCACACCCACCCTGAAAGCAGAAGAAAAACGTCTTCAGACAGTTGTCATCCAATAGTCTGCTGGTACATTAACAAAAAAATTTACGGACAACACTCATACAAACTCACATCAATACTCTTTATGGTCAATACAATGATGGTGTCATCAGATCTTCTTTCTGACTTGTTGTTAGTTGCTGGAACGAAAAAAAAGATATAAAATATATGTACTTAGAGATATCCAAAAGTAGTGGCGGAAGTACCTTATTCTCGAATAGAAAGCTTGATAAAATTTTCTTTTTTTTTTTATGAAGTGATAGAGAAAACAAAGTTCTATTTTTTCTGTATTATTTTATTCCTATTTAACTGGTACCTTGATAATAAAATTTCGATAGAAATTGTTTTTGTTGAAAACTTAACTAACAGATGAGGCAGATTAAATGCTGGCATGTGAACACTCTATTCTAAAAAAGGAGGACTAGGGAGGATTGTCATTGAAAATTTTTAGTAGGATCTGGCATGAAAAAGGAGGAAAATAGGAGGATTTCTGTTTTCTCGTGGAAAATGTATTCTATGCAGCATTTTAAATTATCACGATGCTTTTTTATTATTTATACGGCATTCGATAGATTGCCACCCTTTATTTCCACAACATAAATCCTTGGTTTTACACAATGTACAAATGAATGAATGATTATTTTTGCATCTTGATTCAGTCATCGCTTAATAGAAATATCATGTGAATTTATTTTTTTCAACCATGAAATATTAAATCGTGTTACATGAAGAGGTATTTAACGAAAACGTAGTTATCTAATTATAGTTTTCTCGAAATGATTGGGTATAGTGCTCTAATAAAAAATGTATTTTAATTTTCAAGAAAAGTTTTCTTTTAACTCGAGTTTTCGACAATTTCTCATTGTAATCGTCAGAACATGACCATGTAGGAATCTAAAAAAAATAATATACATATGACTGAATTGCAACTTTTTGCTACGCTTGAATTTTTAGTTGTATTTTGTCAATAATTTTCGTTCTGGTAAACCGATTCAGACGATATTTTTTACATGTTACTGGTCTTTGAGTGTCCCACTACCACACAAATTTTATTTATGTTACTCTATTAATATTAAACATACTTTTCAGTGTTTACAAGATTATTAACTACTGTTAATATTAATATAGTAAAATAAATTAAATTTTATTACTTTTTCACACTTCTAATAGTACTCAATAGTTTTTGTTATTCAAAAAAAGTATGAAAATTACATAAAAAGGTTCACTCATAAGTACTATTTGCTGTTTAAAAAACAACTTTTAAAAGTACTAAAAACCCATATCGTAAATACCGCACCGTTTTTAGCGGTAAACCGCGGTATTTATCAAAACCGGCGGTTTACCGCGGTAAATTAAAGTAATGGGAGCCGGTAACCGGACCGGTAAAACCGCGGTAAACTGGAGATTTTTCTAAGCATTTTTATGACATGGGAAGCAGAGATGCAGAATCTACCTGTGTGCGCCAGCGCGCGCTTGGGTAAATTTTTGAAAAATTGTTAAGTGAATAAATTTTGAGATATTGTTGAGTGGGAAACCTTTTGAAAAATTGTTAAGGGGGAAATTTTTGGAAATTTGTTAATTGCAAGGTTCTTCAGCAGCAAGAAGGAGAAAAATTGGTTATTTTATAAAAAGAGTGAACAATATCAAACATGGAAATTTATAT